TTCCCCTCACGTGTTGTGTTCTCAAAAATAGCGAGGTACATGTTTGAATTGATTGATTCTAAAACAACATATATGGATATTGAATTTCTGAAAGTTGAGAGAGTTTATAAAATGTTTTGAAATGTTTCGAAATAATAAAATATACAAATTCCTATACAGTGTGTAATATTAATATTTAGAGATTTCTTTTGTGAAAACCATATAAGTTGTGCATAATGAATATTTTAATATTTTGATTGTTTTATGAATAATTTAATCTTCTGATTCATCTCTTTTTAAAATGTTCTTTATCTTAAATGTCTAATTAAGATCCACGGTTAGTCAGTAAAAGCGAAAGCTTCTGTTTTACAGAATAAAAATACAGGCAGCAGTCCAATGAGTGTTGTATCGAGAGTGTTTCATAAAAATGTGAGTAAAATGTCGGCGACGAAGCGAATGTATGAACTTTATGTGAGTAATCTTTTGTCGCTGGCAGCTGAACGAGAAGCCATGGCTGCATCCGCAGCCTAAGGATGAGGCCGCATGTCAAGTAGAAGACGAAGAGGGTCACGAGGGATATAGGCACAAAGAAGTAAGTACGCATCGTGCCGTGAAGCATCATGCCATTGCATGTTACAGTGTTGCATATTTCAAATGAACAACGCGTTTTCTCAGGGCTGCCTTGGAAAAGTCACGAACTGGCTGCAGTGCGAGAGCTTCACATTAGTATTCCTCGGTATGGCAATGGCAGGAATACAGGTAAATCTTTTTATTATTTTTTGCAAGCTCTTGGAAGAAATAATTTTGAAGAAACGTAAAATCAAAGATTCATACACTGTAAAAAATAAAATGTTAATTTTAATATTATAGTGGACTTTCTAAGGCATGCAAAAATTAACATTTTTGTGTGTTAACATTTTTAACATTTTTGCATATCTCAGAAAATCCACTATACATCTTTAACTTAAATTAACATTTCATTTTTTACAGTGTAATTTTTACTTAAAAAAGTGCCTTTAACTTTTCACACACACTTTATAAAACATTCTTATAAAAATTGTATTTTACAATAAATTACTGTTCTTTATTTTAAGGAGTTTTTTGTATCTTTTTGAAATAGAGATTGTAATGAATTATAAATAGAACAGACTTATCAAATATTTTCTTACTAAACTTAATAGTTTCCTCCTCGGTTTCCTCTTTTGTGTCTTCAATATTTTGTAAAAAGACTTTATTTAAGAAAGTATTTTTGATCTTTAAACTTTATAAAAATTTTATGGTAATTACTCTTCTATATTTAAAGAAATTTTTGCATTTTTTTTCAAATCGATTATAATCGATTATAAATAATAGAATAGATTTATTAAATATTTTCTTAAATTAAATCTTTCTTTACTCTTATATTTTAAAAAAGAAATAATCAAAATGCATTTCAGACTTTCGGGATAATAACGTCTGCTTTCCTCTGCCGAACGATAAGAGATATGCAGGAAGAATGATCCAGGATTCGTAGTCTCAATGAAGTAAAGAGAATGTCGTGGCACGTCCAATCTTTACATTGACAACTTTGGAAGAAGAAACATTTATTTTATATCTTCGATATTGCTACTTGGAAGATTGCCGAAATTCGTTTCGGTTATGTGAGTTGGGACATTAATCGGGATTTGCAGTTAGGAAATATTGCGGGGAAGAAAGTAATATAAATATTTGTTCTATTCCACAAGGTGTCTGTTCATTGAGAACTTCGAATCGAAATAACAATAAGTGCTACGCTTAAATTTAGATCGATTTCCACTTCTGTGCGCGTTTTGCTGCCATTCAGCAATAATGTGACCAAAATGTACCCTGCTGTACATACAACTGTATGCATTTGTGTCGTGTTCAATCGAGTTCTATCTAACTAATACTAATAAAAAATAGCGATGTTATCGCTGGTGTTAGTACCTCACGACGACCATCGGGAGAGTTTGGCTAGCAATGTGAATTGTTATCCATGGCGTTCTATCGTCTTGTAAATACACTTGCCAAGAAAAAAGGATGGATATATGCGCTGCGTGCGTGAAAACTTTCGAGTTGTTTTCTTTTTTTGTAGAAAATTTACCTAATTTGAGATGTAAAATGATTTTTCGCACAAAGTTGTACATAAATTTTTGAAGAAATATCATAATTTTTAACAACTAAGATATTTATGTGAGTATGTTTAGGGGAGACTGAGGCTGATTGATGTATTCTATTAACAGACTTTTAAACGATGTTAGTAGTTCAATAAAAAACGCGTTACAATCATATAACGCTCTATCTTTGACTGAACTTGATGAGTTTTCAAAGTACGTTTAACTAGCCTAGATTCTTAACTATAACTCGAATTAAAGAAATTAAAAAATTTCATTTACTTAGTAAAATGTCATTAAATTTTTACGTATATATATATATATATATTTCTACTTAGCCTAATAATATATGTTCAAGATAGTGCCAAAATAATCTCTGTGTTTCGAAACTTGAAAAAAAAAATTACAAGTTTTGATCAATCCCAGCTTCTCCTAATGAACGTGTATGTTAGATCTTTATAGAC